TGAGGGAGCTGGGCCTGTTCAGCCTGGAGAAGAGAAGGCTGAGAGGGGACCTGAGCAGTGTCTATAAGTACCTCAAGGGAAGCAGTGAGGAGGATGGTGCTGGACTCTTTTCACTGGTGGCCACTGATAGAACCTAAAGGAAACGGCCAGAAACTGAAGCACCAAAAGTTCCACAGGAACTTAAGGAAATTTTTTTTAGCAGTGAGGGTGACAGAGCACTGGAACAGGCTGCCCAGAGAGGTTGTGGAGTCTCCTTCTCTGGAGATCTTCAAAACCCGCTTGGATGCAGTCCTGTGCCACGTGCTCTAGGTGACCCTGTGTGTGCAGGGGGTTGAACTAGATGATTCATAGAGGTCCCTTCCAACCTTAAGCATTCTATGATTCTATGATTCTAAAAGTAAATACTGAAAATCAGCATTACCTTCTTTCTAGTAAAGGACTTTTATGCACTGACACCCACACCCATCAATTCTCTTGAAGAGTTTAAGAGCCTAACATCTGTAGTAATAAAGATCTGCATTAATAAACATAATCATCCTACTTAAACAATTGCCCAGCTTTGTTTTTAGAGTTTGTAGATGAAGCATAACATCCTCGCTGCTGCATTAATAGCATTGATCTGTTAGTAATAGAAGTAGCAGCATGTATTCTAGCAGTAGCTTCATTCCAGCGTGGATAAGCAGTTGCTAGATGATGTTTGGCTTTGCTATGTGCACTTCAGTCCAATAGTCTTTGTTTATCAAGTAATTCACATTTCATTAAAGTCAATGAAAGGTTTCATGTTAACCTCCAGAACAGAAATGGTCCAGAGATGCTTGGACTAAGAAAGCTTTTTGGGCATTGTCATGGCCCAAAACCAGCATAGCCATACTGGCCCAGGACTCGAGCTAGTGAAGGGCGTATGCTCTCCTGCTATGTTTCCTGATTCCAGTTTTTGAGAACTTGAGTGTCCTTACAAGGATGCAGATTTGGAGACTATTCATGTGATCTGTTGACAGCGTTACGTCAAAAATTCCATTTTTCTTTTTTTTTTCCTACAGTAAAAATGCATGTTTTTAAAAAAATGCCTACATACTGTACTTGTTTTTAATTCTTAGTTGCCTAACATTCTTTTGAAAATAGAACTAATTCCTCTGGGGATCAGAACAATTTCCTCCGGGAATCTCATTACCTTTATTGCCTTTTTCTATTTATTTTATCTTTTTTTAGGCTACAAATTTCACAGAAAGCAGTGGAAGAAAGGTCACTCAGCTATCCACCATTTCTGAAATATTGCACCCTGCCCCGTTCACATTCACATCCCTTCCATTTTATCTTTCAAGGAAGAGCCTTGAAAGCTCCAGGAGGGGAAGAGGGGTTCATTTGGTAGTTCACTTTCTCCCCCACTGCCTTTGTATTTTTTCCTGCTTGTGGAAAAGTTACCTGTATCACCTGATCTGAATACAAAGCTAAAATCGTAATGATGTAAACGATTCAACTGTATCACTGACACTCAGGCAGGATGTGATCATAACATTCAGACTGTTCACCCTGAAAGATTATTGAGATTTTATTAGGAAAATGTTACTGAGTTACCATAATAAATGGTATTTGAATTCCATTAGCTTGTTGTAAAAACAAGAGGAAATGTAAAAACTAGAGGAAATGGCCGCAAACTGAAGCACCAAATGTTCCACAGGAACTTAAGGAAAAAATTTTTAACAGTGAGAGTGACAGAGCCCTGGAACAGGCTGCCCAGAGAGGTTGTGGAGTCTCCTTCTCTGGAGATCTTCAAAACCCGCTTGGACGCAGTCCTGTGCCACGTGCTCTAGGTGACCCTGCGTGTGCAGGGGGGTTGGACTAGATGATCTCTAGAGGTCCCTTCCAACCCTAAGCATTCTATGAAAAACAGCAAAAAATAGAAAAAATTTAGGATAATAGCTTTGGCCCCTTTATTCTTGTTTTGTATTCTTGATAAATGAACTATGTGGTGACTTTCTGTTTCTCACTACGCCTTTTTACATCTGAAGCAGAACTCTTATAAATTGGATCGGTCAGAGAAAAAGAATGGCAAGGTTGAAGGACACATTTTATTTTAGTAAATTGTTGTTGCTGGTGGTATCTTGTTCGTTTCATTGCAAGAATGCTCCCAAACTCAGCCCAACCTAAGAACTCTTACCCTTTTTTGCAGTCTTTTTTTTTTTTTTTTGTTATGCATTCCTTGCTCGGTAAGGATTATTTTCCATATATGTTTGGCTCTCATATAAACTTTTTGAAAATCAATGGCAACTATTTGCTGTGAATACAGTGAGCTGTGAGAATATGTATGTTTCTCCTGTGAATATGGGTGTTTTGGAGCACTTGTATATTCCCATGCACTTGTGTGATTAAAGGTAAGCACAAAATTAAGGATACTAATTATCCAAGACTGAAACACTCCAAATAATTGAGCACGGTGGTTTCTAATCCACCCTATAGAAGGAATCAGTCCTGGAAAACAAACCCTTCTTGCCTTATTTACACAAGAAGCCTATTGACTTCAAATATCTACTTACGTGAACAAAAAAAAGCAGGGAAGGCAACACACTAGATAGATGGCAGAGTCAGTCTTTTCGTATTCTATCTTCTCTGAAAGTAAAACGACTGTTGGCTGCCAAGGTGTCCTCTGGACAACCCACATACTTTCAAATATCTGGATCTCCAGCAAGAGCAAATCAATGCAGCTATACTGACTTTAATGAAGTTATTTTTCTGTTTCTTGTCTGGAACTGCATATTTAGTGGCTTTGAAAAGATGGCGAGATACAGTAGGGCCCCAATCCAGGAGAATATTTGGTTCATATCATCAAACATCGGCCATGTCATCAAGTATACAAGTACTTTCTTAGATCATGGTTTAAACAATTAAAAAAGAAGTCCTAGGGGAAGTCCCGGTATTAAAGTAAATAGTGTCACAGTGAAATAAAGTTACTTTTCAGAAAACAGATCTTCTCAGAGGATATACTCACCTAGAAAAAAAAATGAAGAGAAACAAAGACATTGCAGAAGTTTGTTGCATTGAACATGCCTTTAATAGCATCAATTTAGATATAAATTTTTCAATCAGCATGCAAAAACTGCCCATTAAGAGATTTGTTTCAGTGATACAACTTTTTTCAGCCAAATTAAGAAATAAGTATATAAGATGTCACAGTATTTGAATTCAGCCTCTTTGATTATAACACTCAATATGAATAGAACCAACTTGTGAAAAGAGCTGTAAGAAAAGTTTAAAAATAAATATCCTCAGAACACTTTTCTTCTCTCCCTGTTTTCCCATCACCTACGCATAAGAGTAAACAACAGCTTTAGATTCTGGTTTCTTATTTTTTCACAGTGGCTTTTAACAATCATTCTAAAATCTTCTAGAAGCTTCTTATACCCTTTCAGGGAAAGCTTTGCTAGGGCAGTTTGGCTAAATCAGATCATTTCTCCTTCACAGTCTGTTTATTATATATACCCCATTTCCCTTACTGACATACTACATGCTTTTCCTGGAAAGAAGCCACTGTGCAATCAGCAGGTCCCAGGTAGGGACAAGCAACAAGTCCTCAGGACATTCTGTGGTGTGCAACTGCATGTCAGCATTGAAGGCTTTTGAACTAGGGGCTGAACAGATTGGAGCAGTCAGAGATAGCTTAGTGCTTGTACATTGTCATGTTTTACGGATGCTCAGTCCTTAAGAAAAAAATCAGCCTTCAAGATTGCAACAGAAAGTGGATTCAGCAGACAACATACATGTTCTTGAATACATACTGTGTGTATTGGTTGGAATGAACCATGTAACGTTCCTCTTTTACTGGTTGAAAATGTATTATTCTGAAAAGTCTTAGATATCTGTTACAAGTCTGTGTTGCTGCAAAATGAGATTTTTTTCTTCGACCTAAGTAATGGTGCTTGTGGGTGGAAGCAAAGGAACATTCAGACCATTTAACTTCAGACACCTGACTTTGAGTGTCCATCCCTAGAATACCTGGAAACTGTCATAGGTGTTTTCTATAGCACCTACTGACTACCTAGCTATCTAGTAGTCCTAATTTAGCCTCTGAAGATAGATGCCTAAAATAACAGCACCAGTACTGCTAAACACCAGTACAGCAACATATGTTGAACATAGTTTTATTATGGTAGTCTGAGTAAGAATGGGCTTTCAAGGTTAGAGAAAAAAATAAACTTTTTTTTTTTTTTCCTGGATTCCTTCCTTCTTCTTAGGATGATGCAAAAAATCAGGAATATTGAAAGTGTGACCTGCTCTTGTTTAAGAGTTTTCTTGTTCCTTCTCTTCATGATAAGGACAGGGGCCAAAAATAGGTCATTTAAAAATTGAATATAAGAATTTTCCATGAGGTTTCTTTGGAATTGACGCATTCTGTTGCCGATCCATCGGTTGAAGCAGGAACTGCACTTGGTTCTTTGAGATGGCTTTCCTAATTTCTACAGTATGAGTACAGCTGAGAAAATCAGGAATACTTTCCTTTAAAGTCACTTTCCCTTATCCAATACACATTTGTGGGTTATTATATTGGCAAATATACATGGGAGGTGCTTTGGAGAGTGAAACAAAAAACATTTTTTTTTTCAATTTATATATTAAAGCTGTCTTTGAATACTTTTTATATATTTTCAAATTATTATTAATTATTTCTGTTTCACATTAATATGTTTTAACTTCCTCATCATTGCAATAGCGTTATGGTCTGATGAGTAAGAAAACTTGATAGTCCTGTTGTGTTTATTCTTTGGGAGATAATTAGAAGAGTTTAAAGCTTCTTTGGACAATCAGATTACAGCTTTCTTCTAAGCCAATTTATCAGTGCTGAGATTTAGCTTCATTTCTGGAAGAAAATGGCACACACACAAAAAGAAAGAAGAACAAAGAAATATGGGTCAATAATCTTAGAGAATGGAACTTAGGCTTTCCAAGGAGCATTTAAACATGCATGCAATGTGAAATTACTGTGTAGAAAAGGATTAGTTACCTTAGAGGGTAAAAGGGAACTACATAGGAGAGATTCTGTGCTCCAAACAGTGGCTCGTAAAGCTGATGTTCAGGAAGCAAAGTATGAGAAGGAATAAAACTGTGTTCTGCAGATTGACAAACAGGCAGTTACGCTCGGAAATTAGGGAAGTCTTGCGTTTATTAATGTCACCCAGACTGAGGAGACCTGTGCTTTAAGCCTCACTATGGGGCCTCAGACTAAAGAGACTTGTGATTGTTCATCTAGATTAACTAAAGTGAAAACCCTTTGGTATCTTTGATGCCATAATAAAGTTCCAGCTAGAGCAGTGTACTGTGCTCTGTGTCTTACTGTAGCTTATTTTTTAGAGGGAAAGTGAGATAAAGTATAATTATACAGATTTTTTTTTAACTCTACTGACCCAGTTATAGTCACGCTAGTTTATCTTGTCTTGACATGGACTCTGTTTCCCAGCTTCATGAATGGAAAATGGAAAAATTAGGTTTTTTTTCTCAACTTTCATACTTTTCATTTAAATTGCAAGGTTTTAACTTTTGTTACATTTACAGAGTTCTCATCAAAATGGGAACATCCTGTTGACATGTATCTCTGGGTTGGTAGCAATTGTAACTAACAACTTAAGAAAAGACAGTTAAACCTTAAGAAGACAACATACCTTCTTATTAAATGTTTCCTATGTGAAAATGATGCAGTAAAAAAACAGAGATTGATAAAAGATGCTGGTGTTGGGAAAGAAGACAAGGATTTCCTCATGCTGACTTTTTGGTTTTGGATCGATATTTTTTCTGAAGTTGTGGAATATTCAATCCATTTGCACACGGGAGACTTGAAGAAAGCAGATGCCACTGGTGAGGCCTATCTATGTATTCAAGGAGAAAGAAGCAACTCGGGAAAACGATGGCTTAACTCAAGAAGCAGCCTGATCACTTTTGCTAGAGGGCAGGTAAAACAATGTGGAAAAATATAACTGAAGTTGCAAATGTCTTCCTGATAAAACTTTTATATATATATATATGTGTGTACAAAAACTTTCATGTACAGGGTGTCAGAAATACTTCACTACTTTCTGCATATCCTATAGACATGATTTTCTCTGTAATTGAGGACGATTTTCTTCCAAAAGAAACATGTTGCTTTTAAGCTTCAGTGGCATGGCATAACAGTATATCAGTTAAGTTGATTAAGTGAGTCTGAGTTGGAATAAATATACTCTAGGAGCTCTCTTCCAATATTCCAAACATGTAAGGCCGAGGAGGTCTTAAAAAGATCTATAATGTTCCTGGTAGAACTGACAGAATTTCTTTAGAATATTTTGGATTTCTGCCTACTTTGCACAATAACTGTGTTTTGTTAACATTTCTGTGCATTAATATCAGTGTACCAAGTAGTTTTACTTTTTTCTTCTTTTTATGTTTCCTTCAGTCCTTCCATTCAGTTATTGCTTTTATACATTATAAAATATTCCATCTTTAAGTAGCTTTAAGGATTCTTCCTAAAAGTAATTGTTGGTTTAAGAAAAGGGTAACTAAAAAATACCAGACTAAAATAGAATTTTTTAGCTTCTACTTTTAGACTTCTTGTTTGTTTTGATTTGAGTTCAATTATTTTGTTAATGATTTTTTTTTGCTTGTATAGAATCACAAAATAATTGTATAGAATAATTCAGAGGGAGGGAATACTGATTCCAGTAGCACAGCTCACTGCTTCCAGTAAACACAGTTGTTCTTTAATGCAGCAACCTTGAAAATTTTTCTATTTGGCATATGCTTCATTTATTCTTTAAACATGGCTCTGTTTATTTTGTCTGATCTCATTTTCATTTTCGGAAATTCTAAAAGACAGAACAGTTTTTGTATGAAAACACATTGAACTTTGATATTCATGGTATTCTTGGATGTTTCTTTAATTAATTTATTCATTTCTTTGGAATATTAATGCCCTATGTCATGTTCCTCAAGAACAGATCAAGCTCCTAGATCAGAATTCACAAAAGAAACTACAAAATAATGATGGGATTATTAATGATAGGTCTCATTTTGCTTTAAGCAGTAATATAGGGAATTTTATAAATTCATCTTTTTTGCTGAGCAGGTATATATAATATGTATTAAACAACTTACTTAGAGAAAGCTGCACCATTAGTCTTCTTAGTAGAATGGATAAAATGTCAGTATAGGCTCAAAGAGGGATTAATTCCTCTTTCATTTCAGAAACAGAACTGAGCTTTCTTTATTTTTTATTTTGTAAGAAATATATTCCTAAATATTCCTTAAGAATAAAACTTTTATAAAACTTGTCAGTGGTAGTTGATTTCTGTGAATACTAAATCCAGTGGAAATAAGACCCTCTTTCAGATTCACGAGGGAATTTTTACTATATAATTCAAATTCTATGTTACCTTTCTAGTGACCTGGTCAGGAGACTAAATTCTTCCTTTGGAACTTTAAATGACTTTTCTATATCTTGAACTGTAGTGCTCTAAAAATATCTCAAACAACAACTGTTTGGATCTCCTCACAGTTTTCTCCAGCTTGCCTAAAAATGCCTAATTTCCATTCTTAGTCTTTGCTCTTTATTATCTAGATGACTTTTGTCCATGTCTTTTGGCCATGTTATCCATGAAGTCCTCATAGATGACAATAATACTGGCTTGACCATAGGAACTATACAAAGTTTTTATTGCATGCCTTCAAACCCCAAAATAAGTCCCTAGCTTTGTCTTCAAATGGCATTTCCAGCCAGGCTTTACCAAGTCTGCTGGATCTGTCTTCAACAGAATAGCTCACAAAGTCACAAAAGATAAAATGTAAATCAAAAATTTGGTCAAAAGGTCAAAAATAGTTTTTTTTTTTTTATGTAGCTGTTCTCCCAAGAAGATTACACTTACCCATTCATGAATAGTATATTTCCAAACCTGATTTCTTGATGGCTAATTCAGAAAAGCAAACAAGCACATGTGTTAAGAAATGTATGTTCCCAGGATCAGAGTCAGCTTTCCCATTGACAGGGAAGAAAGATGACTGAGCGAAGAAAAAAATAAATGTTTATACCACAAGAAGATGATTATACTATGAAAAATTTACAGTAGAGGAAAAGGAGAAGATGGTCAACCATGCAATGCTATTCCACAAGAAAAATGTCTTATATGATAGGCATGGCTTGAATAGGCAGCGAAGTCCAAATCTTCCCAGATATATATTCATTAAATTCTCATTTAACTGCTTAATTTTCACTCAATTAACTGAGTTTTAGTAAAAAAGAAATTTCTATGGATCTTTCAAATTATTGATATTGAAAATTATTTAGGTATTACATACCTAACTTTCTTCAGTTTAATTGGGAATTGAGTTATTTAACACTCAAGATGTTCTGGATCGATACAATTGGTACTTTCAATAGAAGTACCAATGGATATGATCTGGTATTTTCAGTCTGTGAGACTACTAAAATGATTAATTTAAGGTTCATAGATTTTTCTAATGTTTCCAGATTTCCTTCTTATAAACCACAGCAACATTTTGAAACTTTTAAGCATTATTCACTGGCACATAAAATATCAATTTTAGTATATACAGCATTATTATGAACCAAAGAAAATGGAATGCCATGAATAGAAAAAAAAATTACTTACATTAAGATACAAAGCCTGGAGTCAAAATCACATGCATATTTAATTTAACTAAATTATAATTTTAATTATTTTCACATTGCAGGTGGATACGTTCAAAATAAAAGCTGTATACCTTGGCAAGTTGAATCAAGTTCTTGTTGGATTTAAGAGCCCAAAAAAAGGTCAGCATTTTTTTTTCCAGTTAGTATATAGTACTATATCGCAGCATTATCTCTTACAGTCGTTTCAGTTCCATAGCAGTTTTTGGAGCTAAAAAAGTGTTTGCCTCTTAAAAATAGATAGCAGCAGCAAGGAGCATCATGAAATGATATCTCCTTCAATATTTCATCTATGCTTTTGCTCCAACAGTTTCCAGATGCAGTAGAACAGAGATTCTACAGATATAACACTTGTGCAGATAATGTCATTAATGGAGATAAAGCTGTTCCAGGGCATAAACTAGCCTTCCTTGTTCTTTTATCTTTGTTAAAAAACAGACTATAAGATGATTCTGTAGGTCAAAATCAATTGTGTATAAATAATTGGTTTGGGAATGAGCTCCAATTTATTCCCTAAATGAAATAACATTGAAATGAATGGTCAGACTTTCACTAAGTTCACCAAGACTTAGATTTCACTCGGTTTAACACATTCTATGAAGACTCCACAATGCAGGGTTCCTGTTCACAAAAACTAGCTGTAAGCAAAGGAATTAAATGCCTAATCTAGAAAGCTGATATTTCTAAGATCCTTCAGGGTCAGTTCAGAGCAGAAGCCTTGCCTTCAGAGCAGTTGGAAACTTATAGCATCCCAAGGTTTAGTTCAATGTGCTGTGCAAAAGGCATTCTTAAATGTGGCTAAATCCTGACACAGTAAGTCTATATGGCTTGTACCACTGCTGAGGCTAACCAGAGTTCCTTTCCTGAATAGTGTGAAAGGACTAGATACTATCATTACATAATAAGTGGATAATATCATTACCATTTATAATAGTGTTCACCAATCAGTCTGTTCTGGAGGAAATCAGGTATTTTCTGTAATATATTTTTGGAAGCCTTCTTTCCTAAAGAAGACAATTAAAAGCCAACTGTTTTTTTCAAAGCAGAATCTTATGACTACATAGACAGAATATGTCTAAAAGTATGAATTAATAATGTTGTGTTTATTTTCAATCAGATGACTGGTTCTTGGAAAAAATTGTTATTAAAGAAGGCATTTATCCTTTCTCCACACACATCTTTGTTCACAATAACTGGATCAATAAACGCTCTAAGAAAGATTTTGTAGAAGTGATAATTCCGCTTAAAGGTAATACCAACAAAAATGTCCCTTATTTGCATGAATTGCTATTGCATGGCAGGGCAGAAACAGCACAAGGCTACTTCACAGTGTAGGCAAAATTGAACTCTGAAAATGTGATGGTGAAGGACTGGTGCCAGACTCAATATATGTTATGCCTTCTGTATAAGGAAAATGTACCTGAGATGGAAAATATTGGAACATTTGAAACTTTGGAATGGGTGAGGATCTTGTTCCTGCTGCTGCCAGAAATAGTAGTAATGAGTAGTAATTGTGGAAAGGACTATTCTTCCTTTCTTGTGCCCTACAAGAGTGACATCAGGTGCTGACAACAGATTTGCTACCTTTGGAAGAATCCATGACCCATTCACCAGTGTGACATGCAGATATATGAAGAAGCCAGGTCAGCTGCCCATATTTGCAACAGAGCTAAAATAAGTAATGAACTATTGTTGCCTGACTTTGCTGGGTTGGATTCATTCCTTTTGGAGGACAGTTTTGTATATTACGGTTTATGCAGCCCTGTAACTCTTATAATGGATTCTACATCTTTTCAATGCAGAAACATCTGAGACATCTCCTCTCACAAAAGAATTTGATATGAACAGCCAAGGACGATGGCAAATGTGGGTGGACTGTATTTATGTACCAGAAGATGTTCCTGATATTCAAGTTGTTATATTTGGAAAAAAGGGGAAATCCTCTGCACAGAAAGTTCAGAATCTGAACAATAATCCATTTTTGGTTTGTTTCCTGTTTATTTCATATAAATTTTGCCAGACTGCTTCAGCAAAGAAAAAGTTGCAGCTTATTCATAAGAACTTGCATGAACTGATTGTTTTGTCACAGATGATAGTTGTACCTCAAAGGTGTAAAGAAATAGCACTTGGAGTTCTTTTTATATGTGTTCTAATACATGTATCTAGACATCCTTTCTTCTGAGCATTAAAATAACAGAATAGAAACAACAACCAGAGCCAGAAATCAGTCTGAGTTCAAAATTTCAGCTTGAGTTCAAATTTGATATCAGAGATGTCCTGGAGCGGAACTATCTATGAAAGTCAGGGAAAAAATAATAATAATAATAAAATGAGTGAAACTTGGGTATATAGAATCAATCATACACTTCCTTGCTTTTCATATACTGTTTTAGGTTTTGCAGCCAATTCTTAAAGTGAAAAAAAGAAAAACAGATTATGAAACAATGTGAATCCAAAATCATTTAAAAGCTTAATGAGACTTCCTCATCCTAACATTAATGTTCTTAGCCAGTATTTTTATTTTACTTGGTTCACTTATCTTCTCAGTGAGGCTTATTGCTTGTCTTCCAATTGCTTATAAAAAATGTAAAGTTATTTTTTTTTCTTATTTCTTTAACAGTTGTCTGTTGGTGATATTGGAGATATAACAAAAGTTTCTTTTTTGTTATCTTATCCATGTTTGGGAAGAGGAATTAAACTTCAGAAGGTACTCCAAATAACTACATGTAAATTTGGAATATTTTGCATAATATCAACATAAACATCTGTACACTGAGAGATTACAAGCTTCAGATAGATACAACATTAGCAGAGCCTCATTTTTTTTTCATCTCAGAGCAATCTTGTCTCTACAGGTGAATGCGTACAGGACACAGATCTCTTTGTGGGTAGAACTGCCTCATTTCTGTTTGCTGAAGGGTTTGTAGGTATATCTGCTCACTGATGTGCAGATCCATATTGCATAGTCCATTGTGACATGGAGGGCAGCACTTCTGCTGATGGTGGAAAATGTTAATCCCTCAATAGAAGTATGACTCTCTCCTGACACAGAGCAGCCAAGCTGTGGAAAACAATTAGGCTGATGTTTTGGGATTTGTTCAAGCCAACAATCTCATCAGTGAGGGTTAAACACATGATTAAAGTATGTACTTAAGACTTCTTATAAAAAGGATGGAGGAATGATTTAATGCTGTCAGGCTTATGATTTAACTAGGTTTAAAATGTAGGCCTTTCCCCAGGGCAGGCAGGGAGGTTGAATGGAAAGGTTTCAGACCTAACAACACTTGGGGTTTTGGGAAAAACTTAAATCGTGAAAATTAATTCAAGGAAAAGTTGTATCAATATACTGTGCCTGAAGGAAAGGGCCTGAAAAACATTTTGAACATAGCATTGATTTATGCTCAAGCTAGTGAAAGAATGTTTTTCCACGAGATGACCACAGTGGTTCTTTAACCTTACTGTGGATGTAAAATATGGAAGGGTAATTCCCTAAAAAAAGGAACAAGCGAAAAAGTCCAGAGGGTGCTCTGATGGGAAACCCTAAAGAAAGATGGATTTTAGCATACAATTTGAATGGAATTATTCTATGTAATTACTTTCAAATAACTGGTCTATATAGCTGAAGCCCAAGGGGGCTATTAAGTCTAAGTTTATGAACTCCACTGAGGATAAAGGAGAAATATGTCTTTTTCATATTTTTTTTCTCAAAATGTGTTTGTTGTTCGCTAATTTTGTTCAGCTCAAGCTCCAAGAATGAAATGAGTAAGCATGAAAAAACAATTTATCATTTTAAATGTGCTTCTCTGGGCAATTTGATGAAGCTCTGCAAAAATGTTGGCACTGCTCTCATTATATCCATTAAAAGTGATTTAACGTAAGACTTCGGTTTCCAGAACTGATGATTCAAAACATGGCAGGAACTTCACAAATCTAAGTTTGTTTCTGCATAAAAATACGCTTAATTTTCTTCTGAAGCAAGCTATCTACAAAGAGTTAAGTGATTTATACTTTTAAATACTTGTATGCTTTTAAGTGCTTCAATAGTTATTTAGTAAATGGTTAATTAGTAGCTGTAAGTTGTTACAATCTCCAACAAGTCAATAGGTTGCTATAGACCTATATAGTCACTTCAACTGATGCACTTACATCCCACAAGTTAAGCTACAATAATACATACTTTGTACTTGTAACATTTATTACTCGTTTACTAATACATTATTTATACATGGCATCATAATACAAAACATAACAAGTTGGTTTTATTTGAGTAGACTCTCACAGTGTATTAAAAATACAGACATAAGGACATAGCAAAACTGTAAGAGTCAGTATGTGTAAGTGCCGTGTGGATCAGTGGTCAAACCAAACACCCTAACTGAAAAGAAGGGAGAGTTGTCTTCCTTGCATTCGCCTTAAATGTAAGGAGGAGTAGGCAATTTCAGAAATTTCACAAAAACATGGTTTACAGATGTAGCCACAGAGGATAAAAAGAAGATAAAACCCTAAATTCCTTTCACTACGATATACTACCGTTTCACAGTTCACTACTGTTTGTATCACTTTCTCTTCTTAGGTTTAAAGCACCTTCCGAATGCCAAAGTTTTTCCTGTTGTCTCCAAAACGAGCCAACCTTAGTTAAAATCTAGTTGCTTTCTGTAATTTCCAAAGCTTTATATACTGTAGAAATGATAGATTTACCTTAATTAAAATAAATTTTATCCCATCCCAGTAACAAAAGACAAAATTATTTTAATTTTCATAAAGAAGATGATTTTACTCTAAAGTCAGAGCCTACATAAATTTATACAACCTATTTTTTTCAGTCCAGTTTCTGCAATTCTGTCTACATATAGTTAACTCTTAGTGCAATTTTAATACTGATAAGAGTTTTGGATATTTAGAGATATTTAGTTAGATACATTTATACCGATGGGAGTTAGAGGGGATATTTGTGTATGCCAGGGAGTTAGATATTGAGTGTAAACAAATCCAGTTATTACTGGTGCAAAAATAGGTGCACAAATGGCTGCAATTTTTGTGCAATTTAATACTATCTAAATAAAATCACTCTTGTTCATTCCAGAAACTACCTATTTGGCTCTGAAAATTATTCTGGGAAATTGTTTTCTTTCATCTGGAGGCCTTATGCCTTATTTTGCAAGGCACTGGGCATATAGCATAAATAGGAATGAAACATTTCAGTTGTTGCATTCCTAAGTAAGAGCAAGCAAGTTCTACTTTCAAATTTCTAATAATCTCAGTTATATAATTATTCATTTGTTATAGTATTATTTATTTTGCTGCTGCTGTCTGTTCCAGCATGGTAATAAGTGACTAAAGTCATTTTGCGAATCCCTGCCTAAGAATTTTCAATTACCAAATACCCTGGTAACATGACAGTTTTTTTTAATGTCTTGGATACAAAAAGATTCAAAAGTCTGAAGAAACCATTTCTGTGGCTTTTCAGATAATAATTGTGTATCAAGTTCAACCTTGAATATTGTAATTACCAGAAAAATTTCTGTGTGTGGTCGATATGTTTTATGGTATATTTTATGTATTGATCTAGCATACCTGATGTGCACACTGACTCTGTGAGTACCTAAGATAGCAGATCCTCACAACTGTGCTTCCTCAACCTGTGCCCAGTCTGTAAGTGCAGGATCCTCCTGCAAGATGGCCCTATTCTGGTGATTCCCGCCTTGTGTCTCTACTAGTGTTAATGTGGCTGAGACAGCTCTCAGAACTAATACATTTTTTTTTGAAACTCAGCTTTCAGCTGCATCAGCTCCCTGACCTGTTTCAGTGACTGGTGTCAAAAAGCACCAGTGCTGGTGAAAAGGAGGTGAGCAGGCATGGGCAGTTAAAGTCAACATATTCTTCTCAGGCCTTAGGCTGGCTAAAACTGACCATGAATCTGCAACCTTATCTTGCCATCTCCAAAGTCCAAAGTGGAATGCACATGGGCCTAGGCCAAACTTCTCTGTTTCTGGCATTTGTTAAGATTCAAGTGCCTTCTTCCACTGGGAGCTCCTAAGGTCACTGGGCAACTAATTCTTGTCAGCTTTGAAAATTCTAGCTGTGATAGAGCAAGTCACATCTAAACAAATAAAAGGGAGCAAAATAAAAGACGTAGGAAATAGGTTCATACTAATAGAATTACTGAAACTGTATTCATTCATTTAAAATTCTAAAATAGCAGATATGCACAGACCAATTTAAATTGCACCCTCCACTGTACCAAGCTGAATTGGCCATGCAGCAACTACTGTAGCTCTCATGTAGAATCAGGTAGCCTTTAGAGGGAATTTGTGTGCGTGTATGTGTATGTTAATGATAGAAAGAAATGTCAGTTTCTGTTAGGCTAGAAACAAGAAATGGAATATTTCGGGAAAAAAAAATAAATCTCTTTTTCTGCTTTTGCCTGTAGCTTCGTCTGAAAGACCTGGACACTAACGAAGACTTGAGCTTTTACACTGAAGCCCAGAGTCTATTTGGAGAAGATGGGTCAGCAACTGTGACAGAGCTAGCAGCAGTCAGACCAGATAAGACACCACTCAGGGGTGTGCTGTTGAACTAAGAAATAAATACACAAGAAAATGCACAACCACACACAAAAAGCTATGAATTGCCTAGAACAATAAATAAAATGGGCATTTTATGAAAAAAAAAAAACACTCAAAGGCAAATTTCTAAATGCTTGACTAAAACCCATGTGTGATCTGTGGGTCTTTACTAATGTGTATTATTCTTTACTCTTTTTTTCAGTTTTAAGGCAAGTAACACGTATTGTTTCCACAGAGCTAAGCACCAGTTTGAATGTCCAACAAAATACAAATCCCAATTAGTATATTTCTTTCTTTCTTTTTTTTTTTTTTGAAAAAGGAACAATTTACATGAGATGAGAACCTGGATTGCAGATTTTAAAAAGGCATCCTCAAAGTCATTATGACAAGATTCACATACGCAAAAAAACCCCCCCACTATTTTCCAAAGTTTTCTCCAAGATTTTTTCACCTATTGTAGCTCTGTTTCATTTTATCCTTGTATTTAAAATATCAGATAAAGCATTCTTTTGTTCTGTTTAGGTTATAAGCAATATTTATAAAAAGCCTCTCATTCATTATGCTCTATGAATAGAATCTTTAGATAAGACATCCAAAGTATCCCCTTCCATCATCCAGTTAAAAGGTAGCCTGCAAGTGGATTTGTATCTCAGTAGCCTGTTATTTAATTCTTCACAGCGTTTACAGAACCCGTGTAAAGATATCTTTGTCATGCTGCCTCAAGGAATATGTACTACATAACTCATCAGCCAAAAGTCATAGCAAGCCATCCTTTGTGGTGAATAATAATAATACATATGAATAATAGATGAGCCGTTTCTCCTGACCAAATTAATTGACAGTAGCTGTAATTATCTAATTGCCAGTCTAAAAAAACTGAAGCTGATACAGAACAGAAAATGGATTTCCATTTCATTATTTCTGTGCTTTTTTTTTTCTTAGCAAAATGTTATTACAATCTGTAAATTTTAAATTTAAGATCATTAATTAATAAAAGAACTCAAGACTTGTTATGAAGTCCAATAAGATCAGTTAGGTTGTTTCAATTGATTTCAGTGACCTCAGGATAAGACTCCAGAACTAAGATAATGTTTTTCTTTTTTGCAATGTAAGCATAGATTGTTACAAGAATTCATAAAAACATTTAATCTCTAATATTTTACTGTGTTGTCACGAGGTAGCAGGAAAACTGTATAAATCTCAAATGGAACATTAATCTCAATTAGTATTTCTTCATTCCTTGGCCTTGAAATTAATCATTTGTATGGAATAAATTTATTTATAATGCTTGGTAGCTACATTGGTAAATAGACTGATTTAGTAATGTCTTGTTTCATTGACAGAAGTGCTTTATTCAATCAGCGTTCATACGGGAACATTACCTGCATCAGGTACTGATGCAGAGGTGTTCATCACAATTTTTGGAGAAAAAGGTGATTCCTGCAGAAGGAGACTAAGGCACTCAAATTTTGAAAGAGGACAGGTTAGTACTGAAAAATTTTTCTCACCTTTTTAATATGTTTGTTTTTACTATTGTCTTCCAATCTCTTTCTGTTTTTCAGTTATCAAGTACATTGACAGGACACAGCAGTAATGTGAGGAGAAAATGAACCACTTAGTTACTAATCATTGGCATCTTACCTCAGTTTGGATTAGAATTTAAAAATAGTGCCAGTAGCAACAAGTTTACAAACACAAAGCATCAGTATCTGTAGAAACCAGAACTGAACCCATAAATATATATGCATGTGTATATAAGTATATATAGATATAAATAATAATATAAAAATAATATATAAAAACATTCTGTGGCTTAATATTCAGTTCTCTGAGGTTGTAATAGAAATACTAGGGCTCTTTCTCATGACTTTTACTTTAAAATCTATTTTCTAAAAGACCTGTCCATATATAGCTGAAAGACACAATTAAAATTTGTTTGTTAATGTTAATTAACTGATTAAAAATAGAATTGTAAACAAAGATGTCTGTCAATGTTAAGTTATAACTGCTCAAGAGAGTCTTAAGGGGATCTTAAGATTAAATCTTAAAGGAAAATTCTGTGGTCAAACTCAGCCAGTTAACATTAATGTCCTACAAAATAACCTGCACATGTTCACACATATCCTGGATTCAGCCTGGATATGACTAGGTGCAATTTTTAAGAGAGTGATCTCTTGATCACTGTACGCTGTCAGGATTCTCTATACTTATTTCATGAGGTTTTCTTAGGATATTTAGTGACAAGGATACTTTCCTAGGCAATCTGTTCCACTGCTGTGTTAGCTTTAGTTATCATTAGACAATTTTTTCTTTATTTGCATTATAATGTCAAAATATTTTATCAAACATAGAAACATATAAGGGTGGCTGTATCGGTTCATTACAAAAACTTATCAAGTCCAGGATTTCCTCTCTCGTAGGAACAAATTGCAGGCTTCCAGGGAAGACTACAGGGAAGAAACAGGAGAAACATACTGCCCAAGCTGTTCACACAGACTTTAGTGATTCTCAGATAAGTAAATTCTTTAATCAGAGGCAATATATTAGCACTAATAGCCATAGCCAAGTTTTTCTTTAATGAATTCTTATAATTTCTTTTAAACACTATTAGCATCCGCAATGTCATATAGCACTATAACCTGTGTAAACCTTGCACATGTTAGTTTAATCTGATGTGCCTATTTTTTTATTGGAAGGGATCATGAATTATTTTCTCTCCTTTACATAGAACATAATTAATCCAAGACACTTTGTGCCAAAGATGTCGCAGGTGGTGAAATGCATGTAGGCTGAAAAAAGCCATGCACACTGTCATGGAAGACAATTTCATTGAGTGCTGTTAAATAGAAAGACACAATCTCTGCTCAGGAAATCCCTAACCCACAAATTGCTAAAGCCTGGGAGAGTTCATAAATTAATGCTTGGGTAGTATCTCTATATTCTCTATTTAATCTTTTATATTCAAGAAGTATCTCTGTGTACAATCTACCTGTTTATAAGCTCTTCCTTAGAAATATATTAGTGGCAGCAGTGGCAGACAGAATAGTGGACGAGTGGCCCATGTTCTGACATAATACTATCAGTGGTTCTCCTTACAAGGAGTAGATGTATAAAAAGGTCAGAATGAGGTTTTAGTGACACTATATAAGAGTAGGAGATGGAAGGAAGAGATGAGAATGGCAGATTGTCATGACAGGATTATATCAGCAATACCCCTGAAAATCATAGAATCATAGAATCATAGAATGCTTTAGTTTGGAAGGGACCTGTAGAGGTCATCTAGTTCAACTCCACTGCACACGCAGGGTCATCTAGAGCACGTGGCACAGGACTGCGTCCAAGCAGGTTTTGAAGATCTCCAGAGAAGGAGACTCCACAACCTCTCTGGGCAGCCTGTTCTGTCACCCCCACTGTTAAGAACTTTTTCCTTAAGTTACTGGGGCACTTTGGTGACCCTGCGTGTGCAGGGGGGTTGGACTAGATGACCTCTAGAGGTCCCTTCCAACCTTAAGCATTCTATGATTCAATGATTCTATGTGGCCTCACCAGGGCTGAGTAGAGGGGCAGGATCACCTCCCTTGACCTGCTGGAGACTATCCTCTTAATGCACCCCAAGATCCCATTGGCCTTCTTGGCCACGAGGGCACACTGCTGCCTCATGGTCAACTTGTCGTCCACCATGATACCCAGGTCCTTCTCTGCAGAGCTGCTCTCCAGAAGGTCGGTCCCCAGCCTGTACTGGTGTCTGGGGTTATTCCTCCCCAGGTGCAGAACTTTGCACTTGGCCTTGTTGAATTTCATGAGGTTTTTCACCGCCCAGTTGTCCAGTCTGTCCAGGTTCCTCTGGGTGGCCTATGGAAAGAATGGTCAGAGAAGACAAAATTAAGAAAATTTCAGATGTAGAAAAAAAAATAAAAGGATCTAAGGATCTTCCTTGACTGATAAAACTCTTGACTCTGAGGACAAGCAAGAAGACAATAATATCAGCAAAATTCAGGGGGGAGAAAAAAAAGCATGAAACTGATTTAATTATTGCAAAAAGTAAGTCTAATTTATATTTACTTAAGCAATTTTAAGTTTAACTTTTAAGTGGAGAATTGTAATTTTGCCTACCTAAGATTGTCACTAAATCAGGCAAGACAATTTAAATTAAATAATTTTGGTTTTCATTGGTTACACTTCCAGTAATGTGTTTAATGTCATCCCAAATGGCTTTAAAAAAGAAAAAGGAAATATAATGATATAAACCAAAAGTACATACTTGCTAATGCTGAAGGAGTATCTAATTTAATATGTTATTATGATAAAAATCATAATAATATATATAATACATATAATTATATGTCAATGATAACAATGTGTGATTATGACCCCTGTTGTTTAATGACTGTTAATTAGTACCACAAAGAATGAGATTAATGATAGATCCCTTTTTCAGATGCAGTTAGCTGTGAAGGATCATAAAAAGTAGCAATACAGATTATTTCCTCTAAGTCAAGGGTCATGTAAACTAGAAAAAAAATATATGTTTGTCTTGGAACTACAGAGAATAAAATTTAAAAGCAATGCGTGCTCCAAAAAAAGTTATTTTCAAGCTCTGTTCCTTGCAACTCTATCCTATTTTGGGCTACTTATGAATTATATGAAGGTCTGTAACTTGCCATGGTAACTGTTTGGGGAGATCATGGATATGTCAAGGTAAGAATGCTGGAAATCCTAAAGCTGTGATAGGAATAATAACTCTGAGTTTTTTTCCTTTTTCTGAGCACATTGTAGAGAACAGTTCCACACAGGCAGGGGAAGGGACCAGATGACATAATTCTTTTCAAAAATCATCTCTTCTTTTGTTGCTTTCTGCTCCTCATGCTTTTTCCTGCCTGGTGGCAAGTTCGTTGGCAACAAATAAAAATTACAGCGTCTGTTTCTACTATCCATCTGTTTTTTTTAATGTCACCCACACACATGCCCATGTATCTGCCCACTCACTCATATTCTCTCCTGCACAGAATGCATTCATTCTCTCGCTCATATAATTTATTCATCCCAACATGCACTTGCGCTGTTGCCATTTAGCTTCTGTTTACTGGTAGCCGTAGCAATATTTAAACAGATGTCTATTTACATCTGAAGAGCACATCAATTCTTGCTGGTGTGTATGCACAGCCTTAGTTATACTTTCTAATGTCAGTATCATCCTTTGTTTGCACAGTCATCAACAGTGTCAGTATTTCTGTCCGGAGTTGAGCAATACATTTCCCATCTGAAAAAAAAAAAAAAAAAAAAAAAAGACTTAGAATATAATTTGATCTTGAAAATTTAAAAATGAAGTGCCTTATTTAAATCAAAATTGCATTTACCAGGTGTGCTCTGACATTTCTAGCACTCTCTCTGGTTCAGTTATGAGTTGCAGGTAAAGCAGAGACTACAGTGTCTTGCTACTACTTTTATTAGACCCCTGTAAGTAAATTAATGGGCTGAGGTTTCTCTCCACCCAGACTTCTTTAGGATAATCTTGGTAATAGAACCTGAGATGCACTGATAATGAGCAATGGAAAATGCATATATTAAAGGACCCATATATTCATGAATGATAAATTCTCAAAATATGAATTCCTGCATATTTTTTAGTTTACTATCAGGAAGAAAAAAAGCACATCAGACTGAAAGGAATCTGTCTTTCCAAACATAATCTTGCTACATACGTTCCTAAAATGAATGGGAATCTGTCTTTCCATCAATTTTCATAAGGATAATTCTAAAATGAATGGATTAATCAGTTTTATGATGTTCATTTTGTCTTTTCTTTCTCAGGTTAGTAGGTCTGAATTGAAAGCAATAGACCTCGGACTCTTAAGCGAAGTACTTGTTGAGCACAGTAATGTGGGTTATGGAGCTGGATGGTATCTAGACCACATTATCATCCATGAATCAGGCAAGACTGATGGAGAATATGTGTTTTTATGCCAGCAATGGTTAGACAGCGGAGTTGGTGATACACAGATGAAACGAATGTTGAGACTTCTTGGAAAAGTCAGAAATGAGCTGTTGACGGGGAATGTTCATGGTAAGGTGTAGAATCATCAAAGCTTGATCAGGCTTTTTGTTTTAATTGTAGTTTGTACTTTTTCAGGTTATGTTTAAGACTAAAAAAAACATACAGAAATATAGCTTAGATGTGAATAGCATCTTTCAGACAAACTGTCTCACCAAACTCTTTCCAAGGCTGCTAAATAGAGTTAAAATGTTCAGAGAATAAAGACTAAGATTAAGTGATGGAGGCAATGAAGGAAGTACATTTTCAGCTGAGGCTTGTAAAAAGATGTAGCAGAAAGAGGTAGGTCGCTCCATATGGCAGTCAATGCAGAGCAGAAGGCTCCTGCAACACTGATGAAATCACAAGAAGCAATACAAAATCTCTTCTTTTAGCAGAATGAAATTTTCCCTTATGTTCACATATTTGCAAAAGCATTTTGCTTTTATTTGCAGTTTTCTTTTTTACTTATATCAATGTCATGAGTTGTTGCAAATAGTTACTTGACCAGAACCCAAGCTTATGGATACTCCATTTTATGCTCTGAGATTTTAATATTACACATAATTGCACTCACAGGTAGTAGGATGTATTCTCTTATTTAGATACCTATTTTTGGTCAAGTAGCAGATATTTTTCATCATCAAATAGAATATAAAAATAATATTGCAGAGACAACAGAATCATACGACAATCAGTGGTCTTGAGCTAATTTCACGAAAATAGTGGCAATTTTTATATAAGAAATACCTATATTATATCATTGCAAATATTCCCAGCCTGTAAAAAATTAGTCTCCAGTGGTGTCCTATATAGCCACAGAATAAAGCAAGCTTCTCTTGAGGCTAATGTAGAGAATCAGCTTATGGTTTGGTAGAATATGTCTTTGTTAGCTGATAATATAAAAAGTGTGAGAAAATTTGCATCCTTATTTGTAAACCTTAACTATTATTTGAATGTATCTATGCAACAATATTCTCCTTCCTCCACTTCCCACACATAGTCCCCAAAATTTTGCGTTCAGGCTTGCTAATATTTGCCAATATTTTTGAAACCTATGGTTAGTAACATTCAGTTCTTTATTCAAAACCACTTCTGTTCTTGATGTATAATAACTTCAGAAAGAATATTACAAGTAAGCATAGAGCCTAAAAGAAATAGAAAAAAGACACTGATCAACAAAGAGCATTACATCTTAGAGGTCAGAAAGCATAAGTATGCAGTGGGAATTACTAAATGTCAAGCTGAGTCAGACTTCATAAAAGAATTAAAACAAGTAGCAAGGCTTTTCAACCATTTGCTTATAAAGTAAATAAGAAAACATATGAACAAGGAAAGATATGTGACTATGCAGAAACAATACAGCAGAGACATAGGTGAAGTAGGTAAAATCCCTAAACGAGCACTTTACTTCCATTGAGGACCCATAATGCTGGCAAGGGAAGCAAAACCAAAGGTACTCATGGGAATGAGGCAATTGGAAATCACCAGGTCTGAAATACAAATGGTGCTCTGAAAGTTTCATGCAATCGCACAGTGTCAAGCAAAGGAGTGCCTGTACTGAAGGAATTGGGAAATGGAGTAGCAGATCTGGTAGTCAGGAAATAATTTTATGAAGACAAAAGGGGTGACATGAAAACAGCAAATGCAGTGCCTATTTTTTAAAAAATGAAAAGCACAATATTGGTGACTACAGGCTTAGTAATCAATCGCATGAAAATTTTAGAATATACTTCAAAGAATAGTTAAAATAACAGAGATAGCAGGAAATAAGAACTGCATCATGAATTTATCAAAGATAGATTACGAAGCAATGCTGAAAAGCTGATACTTTTTAGAAATATTCTTTCACAGCAGGAGAAATGCAGTGACATCAAATGTGCCTAAATTTCAGTACTCATTTTATTTGTTTAATAGCAAACTATTAGGTAATAATTAGGAAGTAGAAAGTAGTAGAAAATTGTGATGAGCTAGAGAAGGGGGAATGGGTATGCTAATGAAATTTATTGATGCTAAAAAGTCAAGAAGTATTATTAGGAGCATTAAGAGGGTGTGTAGTAAACTTAAATGACCTTGAAAACTGGAAGAAAACATTGGAATGGAATTCTGTACCACCAAAATTGAACAAAACTGGGACCAAATCCTACTAAGGCTCTTAATTCTTGCTCAAGTCCTAATTTAGATTGGTTTTATTTGAAAATTAGGAGCCTAAATAGTAGGTAAGAATCTTAAAAAAAAAAAAAGTCTCTATATCTCCACACTTGTAGTGATCTTTGCTGTAAGAGTTCATTAACGGGAAGTGAGAAAGAGAAATACCTGGGCTTCTTATGTGATCACAGGATAATATTGAGAAAGTAATATGATGTGGTTTTGAGTAAAATGACTGTGACATTACATGTGATGAGACATTATCCATAAAGATAGAGAAGAAATAATGCTGTTGTACAAAGAAACAGTGATATTTCATCCGGAGTGCTATATACAATTATGATCGCTTGTGTCCAAAAAGCCTTGTTCATACACACATAGATGTAAAGCAGATATAAGATGCTGATCAGGGATGCAGCAAACATTTATTAAGAAAGGATATTGAAAAGCTTAGTGTAGTTAGACTAGCAGATTAGCGGCTGAAAATGGATGCAGTTGTGATCTATCAAATTAATGGGAATTTACCCAGCAAGGTATTTAAGCTAACAGATGAAGTTACATAAAAATAAATGTGTTCCAGCGGTCTATTAATGCCATTCTGTGAAAACTAAAATATTTATATGCAAGAGAGAGTGAAAATTTACCATTGTTGTATTTAAGACTTGACTAGCTGCTTTCAGACTACATCTTGACAAATAAATGAAAGGGATTATATGATATAGTTAACACAGTAGTAGAGAATTGGGCTTTATGATACAATAGATAACACTTCCAGGCCTATGTTCCTAGGCAATTAGCCATCGAGAGTTTAAAGTAGCTTTATTAGTTTTAGTTTAGTTTAGTTTAGTTTAAAGTAGCTATTTTAGCTTTAAGAAGCTAACATAGCTTCAATTATGTCACTGGGAATATGGTGAATTTTCACTCCACTTCCATTTTTTGATGGATATCCTTGGTTTCGTTTATTTTTAATGCTCATAGACATGAAAATGATAGCTATTTATGATTAGTCATGAAATCATAACCACTGAAGCTATTTTACATCACTTTAAGAAATGTGAATGCCAATTTTTTACCTTCATGGAGTTCTGAATTTACAATATGGATCTTCACCTGCTGTAAATTCGTAAAGCTTTATTTACAGTAATTTTCACCAGAACTTAAAGATTTTCCCGTGATGATTATAAAACTGGACTTTCCAGGAGAAATACGGCAATAAATTCAGAAAAATCACAATGTTCATTACTTTAAGGAAAAAATATACTTTATTTTACTTTTATAATACAACTAGATGGAATTATTAAAAGCGACTTTTGGATTACTTGGCATAAGCAGAGCTCAGTAATCTTAATAAAAATCAGGTGTGCTCTATTCTGCACCAGCCCAGGATATAAAACCCTCTCTGTAGAAGTCATGATTTTTGAAATTGAAATGATGATCTTGATGAGTCCTGAGAATTCCATATACTCTTTTACTTTGAATGAACATGTTAAAATCAGTTTAGTCAGTGGGAATTTTTGGCGGATCCAGGTTTTTGGTCCTCCAAAATGACTTGCTAATGAGAAGTTTAACTGAACGTATTACAGAATCATAGAAATTACCCAGGAGCCCACCTATTCTGAGTCTGTAGTGCTTATGAGCCTTTAGAAGACTTTCAATGCAGTTAGAATATTAAATAGACCAAGCACTTCAAAGCAGATCATTAGTTTAAACACTAATTGTTATTCCTTTTCAATATTATTTTCCATTTTTCTTATAAACTAAAACTCCTGTTTTGAGTGTTTTCTGTTTCTCTAAAGTAGAAAAATCCATGACTAAAATTTCTCAATAAGCATCATCTTATTTACAGAGCAGATAAATGAAGTTTTGTACTTTACTGGAGTGATAATTTTGGTTACATGTGATAAATATGTTGCATTTCAAGTTTTAGACCAGCTTATCTCATCAACACCGTGCTAAAGAATATCTGTAGCAAATATTAACATTCCAGTCTAAATTGTTTCTCAAACAGTTGAAATAGATTTTTTTTTTCTCAAAATGGCAGATATTCAGAGGAGTGCTACCTAAGTGATTAAAAGACCAGGATAAATGATTTATAAAAAAAAAAAAAAAAAGATTAAAATAGTTAGACGAAACATTTGTGGGGGAAAAGAGATCAGTGAATTGGTATAGTTTCTAACATGTTCTTTTTAACTTTGTAACTTATGGAAACTTAAAAAAAGTTAACTAATTAACTTTCATAAGTTTCTAACATGGCTGTCTTATGTGCATGGTCCTATCAGACTGCACCATCTTTAAAGGATCACCTATCACTACAAAAAGGCCAGTGTCCAGATCTGTTTCTCTGTGTACTAAATCAGTGAATTTATTATATTTCAATATTCTATTTCAATGCAAAGGTAGGTTTGAGTTTCTAGTTACTCGCTAACTCACCCTGTTACTAATCCCTGTATTATTTTGGACAGTCAGCCAACCCATTAATTTTTTTCTACTGTTTTGCTTCTACAGGAACTTGGGATGTCTTTGTCACAACTACTGATGTTTCTTCTAGTTTCATTAGCCCTAAGATGTCTCTAACTGTATGTGATGAAACAGGTACCTGTAATTCAGTCACATTTCCCAAAGAATCTCTTAAAAAAAAACAAATTTACGAGACTTCAATTGAACTAAGTAAGAAATTCAGTACTATACACAAAGTTCGCCTAGAAATTGAAGAATCTGGAGAAGGAGGGACTTGGCATTGCTGTGAGGTAAAAAACTAATCATAATTATAGATTATGTATTTATTGTAAAATTCATTTTTTCATATTCTATGGTTATTATATACAGTTTCTGTTTGAAATTGTATAATACTAAATTTACAAAAGTAACTGGATTTGTTAACACTTGTGGTGTGCTAACTTCAGAGAGTACTAAAAAAACTTATTAGATAGCTTTAAATAATAAAAATCTTGTAAATCTTGTAAGTGGATTTCTAGAGGGCATATACGTGGATATGCCATTATCTTTAGCATATCCAGAGGCCTCTTTTCAGAACTGTAGCCACTGGCATTCATGGCAGTATTTACATAATTTCAAATTGGCTGTTGCATGTTGTGGACCCAGTGATCCAAGGCAAATAATTAAGTGAGACACTAGAAATGTCTTTTGATGAAAATATCTGCCATTTAAGTTGGCATGTGAAAAAAAGAAGTGAACAGCAAAAGTGACATTTTTTCTTCTGATGTCCAAGATGCTGAAGCTAAAATCTGGCATCATTCTGAAATTGCAGTGGCACTCACTATACAAAAAATATCTTTATCCTCCTATACTGGCAAAATGAAAAGCAGTCTAAGGGAAAGGATCATCGTCTTTCAAACGGCAACTACACTTTTCCCCTTAATATTTGTATTTTGTTCTCATCAAAAATCGGAGAAAAAATAATTTTCGTCTTTGCTGTGTGATATTAAATAGAGAGCTGAACACGCCAATATTTAACTGATAGGCCGGTTGTTAATTTTGTCTTCTTAGATAAAATATTCCTTAGTAACAAATCTGTTGATAAAATTAAGTCTGCTTCTTGGAGATTATAGGAGACAGTGGGTTGCAGTGAAATGTGACAGAAACTTGACACTTGCAAGCAGACACATCTATTAGCCTGCTTTACTTCATTAGGTCAAAGTAATGACTCAGTGCTGAATTAGAAAAAAAAAAGAAACACCTTTGTTTAGATAGATATTTACATATTTACATCAGATGATAGGATTATAAAGAGAAAGAAATATAACCTTTTCTGCTTTGTGATATTCCTCAATATTATATATTATACCCAATATATTGGGTATTCCCCAATTATTTCATAGATTTCATAGCAGGACTGATTGAATACATGTGTGAAATATCTAAGTTGGGGATAATGTCTATTATCAAAGACAGGTTAGCAATCTATTTAAACTGTTGGCCTGAACCAGGATGGTCATTTCTATGCTATATTATTTTGAATTTACAAGACTAGACTACATTGAGATTTTCCCTTTCTATCACAAGTAAACGCAGATACTCAAATTGATTGAATTCCATATTTAGATTCAGAATTCACTTTTATAACCATCACTGCAAAATAATTCTCTTGGTATTTGTGAAGAAATTGAAACCATTATAACAGGACCAAAAAAAAAAAAAAGTAAGATACATTTTATTTTGGGGGAATGTAATAGCTCAGAGATAGAAACAACTTTATTCTCGCCTCTTTCTGTTTTTGAAGAAATATAGCATAGTAAATGGAATGTGAATTTAAGGAAACTTCAGGAAAGTAGATGGTAGTGTGAAAGAGAAATGGTATTAACTTTTCACTATGCTTTGTACTTCATTAAAAAAAAAAGGTTTTCAATGCATCTGTTATCATGAAACAATAATAGGAGCTCTCTGAAGACAAAAATAAACCTACCATCTACCAAGGAGAATTGCTAACCCAATATGGTGAACTTACTGGGTTAAATGTTTGGTCATTTTTAAAAGATAGTATATTAAACCATAAAGAAATGTAAGAGTAAGCCTTTTCCCTATGCAAAGGAGAGTTCCTTCCTGCTCAGTATTTTCATACTTTGGTCTAGCTTTAAGTAATTTAGAAAAAAGGTAATTTCTGTCTTTTTGTGTGGGTGGCAGTTCCATAGTGGAGAAGCTTCATTGTTAAAATAGCAAAACTTCTATCACTTTTCTTTAGGCATTCAAAATATTTAGTATTATAATCAATATGATACATACATATAGATATATATATGTCATAAAAACATGCTTGAATCCTAATTTTTTTCCCCAGTTACACTGAATGAGAAAACATTCAACACTGAAAAATGTTACTGACATTTCTCAAAGCAGAAAGGGGCCTATCAACCCTTCTTTTTCACTCATATACTGGATGAATAAGTTACATAAAGGAACCTTTTAGAACTATTCCAAAACATTATTCTCCCTGCAGCAATCTCTACAGCAATAATGTTGACAATATTTTATTTTGGAAAGTCTCTATTCCATCCCTTTTAAAAGACAGTTTATTAAAAAAAAAATTCAGAATAATATATTTTCTCTTCTACTGTATTATTGAGATTATGTGCTCTCTTTCATCTGTGAGTAGTAGCCTGTCTCCTGCTATAGTTTATATTAGAGCATATAACACAGACACTACAACTATTTCTCTTTGTTCTCCATTTAGGTAAAGCTTCAACACAGAGAAAGTAAGAATATTCTAGAATTTCCCTTCTCTCGCAACTTTGCAGATGGCGAAGGATTAACGGTGGCAGAACTTCCAGTTCTCACAGCTGGTTTGCCTTTTCCAGCAGGTTTGTTGCAAATCAGAAACACTGGAAAAATTTGGTCAAGATTTTTGCAAGAGTCCAAAGGATTTAGCAGATACTTTTTATTCATTTTAACCAGTGAGGCATGACTAGGTGCAGCCTTCTCAACTGTTTAAAAACGTCTCAGTCAGTTTATTTAGTTGCACATTTTGCTTTCCACATCTGATTGATATCATTTTGCGACATGTAAAAGACACGCAAATAGTAAAAGTGTTTTGAACAGTATTCAGAGTTAATTTTTTCCCTATATTATTTAGTTATCTCTCTGAGTAAACAAAGGAAAACCAAAGCAATTAAGTCTCATAGCATGATTTCAGATAAGAAAGAGATCCATGGCCCCTAACACCAGAAACTTTGTGTTCCTAGAATTTCAGGCATTCTCTTATGACCTAATAGTAAAATATCTCAAAAAGCCTTTGTATGAATTCTGTCTTCAGCATTGCAAGACTAGATTATTTTAGTGTGCTATCTATACTTTAAGAGAATTCATAACCAGGCTTAGTGAAAAAATGCAGTAGTTCTTGTCCTGAATGCATATTCTGCCATGAGAATATCCCCATCCCCTCTAATTTTTTTCCCAGGAATCTAAGATTTGCATTCAGTAGCCCAAGTAACTGGTACATTGCGTGCGTTTTTTCCTATATTTCTATAGCTAGCCTCAAGAAGGACACTTGCGCAGAAGCTCCATGAATGAGAACTGAAGAGTAATGCTGGGATATTCCTTGGAAAGGAACCTTGCCTTTTTACTACTTTCATCTAAAGGAGCACAGATGATTAAAATTAGGAATGCTCTTCCTGTTTCTGAGGAGCACTTAGCAAGAGGACAGATACTGTTTTCTCTACCTCCTTCCCACAGTCATTACCTTTTTAATCAAAAGTTTTGGGCATGTTGCTTCTTTCTTACTTCTGGGGCCGGATCACCAGAGTCTTATGCATTTCTCTGGAACGCAAGTGAATACTTATTATAAACAGCCAAAAATGTTATAATAAATTGTTAGAGAATACACAACCATTCTTCTAAACATCTGCTGAAGCAAATATCTGAACTAGTGCAGTTGGAGAATGGACAACTGACTGGATCGCAACCCAGAGGAAATACCAAAGTTGCCCTCTTTCTAGCTAAGCTCAGTTTCAGTTAAATCCACTGAGGCTCAGAACAGGGCTGTGCTTTTTGAGTAATCTAGTTTTGTCCATGCCTTAAGAGACACTTCGTAGGAGTGTTATAAATTTAAATACGTACAAGTGTGTGGTAGAGTATTATTTACATGTTTTTGTAACAACTGGTGATGTGTTCATTATCTTCTTTCACTTTTTCTTTTTCCCTGTGTTCCAGGCCCACTCACAAACTGTTCTTATTAACTGCTTGTTATTTCTAATTAAAGTGGTTCTTAAATTTTAATTACAGTGCTTCTATGTGCTTTTTTAAACATTGTAATTTTATTTGCCCTTTAAGCACTTTGGGCAGGAAAAAAAATAATAGTAGTAATTTATTGTATTTTTGTTTACTAATTAAGCTTCTTAACTTTTTTTTTATTAGTTCAGCTTTAGTACATCTTTCTTTTTTCCCTCCTCCCAAAGTGAAAAACTATGTCCTCTATATCACTACGGGAACATCCCCTGGGTCAGGAACAGATGCAGATGTGTTTGTCATGCTGAAAGGTCCTTTGGGAGACACAGGAAGAAGAAAATTAGTAAGAAAAGGAGATGATAATTTCACTAAAGGAAAGGTAAGCTTCTCATTTCTGTATGATATTTTTTTCCAATCATTTGAACTTAATGAAAATATGGTAGACTCTCTGAACTCTTCTTTGCAATGCACTGTGTTTTAAGTTTACATGTGTGTGCATAGCCATATCAGTATGTTATGCAAAATATACTGATGCTTATGCAGCTTATGCTAACAATACTGATAAAAGTGATAAAATAAATAAAATGACTATATCAAGCACTTCTAGGTTTAATTTTGCCAAAATTGAAGGTTTTTGATTGCATGTCAGTGCTTTTCCTGGGTATTTGCTGACAGTAGGGCAATTAGTACACTCCATTTCTATTAATTCTTCATTTTTCCCTTGCCACTCTTCAGGGTAAGGTTTCTTTTCCTGCTTTCAGCCTTTCCACTTTCAGTCTACCCCTGGGTCCAGCTCTTGTTCCCTGCACTGTACAGAGGAGAGAGTCTTCCTGCCCATAGATGTAGACCGGTCAAAGACTGCATTTGCCTGCGCCATAGTCAATAAAAACAGAAATTTGAGGGAATTTAGCTACTAAAACTACAGAAATGGAGGATGATTTATAGAAAAAAAAAAAGCATGTCTTTGACAGAAAACCCTTTTGGAAGCCCTGGACAGGGAGAGTGAAAACTTCAGATGAAAGGGTATTAGATTTTTTTAAACATGCAGTACACAGTGTATCTTTTTGCAGACTGTTATTTTAAAATAAAGTTTTACATTAAGACAATTAAGAAAAAAAAATCTGAAACCAATATTTGGTAGAGAAAATTTCGTTTGGAATAGAGTTAATCAAAATGAAAATTAGTGCCTCATAACCAGAATTGCTGAACACATCTTACAACAGACAGCCATGTGTCTTAGAATGTGTATGCTCTTATACCTTCCTGAAAGCTTCGTGGATACTATGACCATGATATTCTAACTCCTCCCTGCATTGATTTAGAAATATGCATGTAAACTACTTCCTTCTGCTGGTGTCAGTGACTCCACCGGTGTCAGTCACAGTGACAGTGTTTCTCTAAGGAGGTCACCTTGCCCATCATCTTGTGTTAATAACCAAAGCAGAGTCATGAGATGTAAGATTAGGAGGATCTGCTAACTACCTCTAGTCCTGTGAATTCAATGGGAGTTGGAGAGGGTCATTACCCTGCTAGATTTGACCCATTTGAAATTAATATTCATAAGATAATGGAGAGACTTTAAATCTTTGCTTTTAAAGGCACTATGTACTTGTGGACAAGAATACTCAGTTTTGAAAAGGCACAACCATCTTCCTCAACTTTGAAATTCAAATTATGATTTATTGATAAATTGTGTCTGAGTTACTGCATATTTGAAATGCATTCCTTTTGGTCTCATGGACTAAATTAGTTTAATGTAAATAAAATTGGTTTTAGCAAAGTAATTGGAAAGCATAGTAAAATCTTGATTTGCTCCTTGTCCAGTGAAAAGAAAATAAAAATATTTAATTAATCAATTAAAAGTAAATTGATTCTTCAAGCAAGACTCCTGCCTTTGCAGCCACATTTTGTTCAAGACATATTTTGGAAATTTCCCAATGTTTTCTTTGCTCTCTCTCTGAGGAGACTCTGAAGTGTTGAATGCCTCTTTCTATAGCAGCCCAGTCCCATATTGTGCTGAGCACCCCTGCAGTCAGAGAATCTGGACTTGGTGGTTTGAGGGATTTTGGATTATAACAGACATGAAATTTGCATTTTAAATATTCACAGTTGTTCTGACATTTTAGAATGTGCTTTTCCTTGAAATATTTTTTCCTTGGTTATACAGTAACAGTTAGTGAACTGGAACAGCGCTTCTGTTAGAAATCACATCAAAATATGGCTTTAGTTTCACATAATGTCCACACTGCTGCAAACAACATCTTAGCACTGCAGAAATGCATAGAAATATTTCAATATTCAGAGGACTTTGCAGTGGTTTGGAGATATGGTCTTCTCATTTATCAGGTCTTTTATTTACATGAGATGGGCTACGTGATAGTAAGGGATTCAATTAGCTTTTTATATCTGAAGACTTGCCCTTGTGTCTTTCCGAAGTCCTTACACCTGTGATGCCATTTAGAACTGATGTGCATGAAATTTTCACCTCGCCAGTTAGCTCTGTGTAGTTCGCCGCGTGCCAGAGGGAGTACCACAGTCACCAAGAAAGGCAGATCTCCTAGTGATCCCTCAAATAAACCATGTGAGCACCAGTGCTGCAATAACTGAATTCTTTCAAACTGTTCTGACATTGACGCCAGGTTTGATGTTCTCCTAAAAGCTACCAAGGCAGGCAGAGCAATCTCTGTGCACTTCTTTGTGCAATGTGGCTTTTATACATTCCTAGTAGTCTTTATTCATATGTATGATTCATTCATATAAATCAGTTTAATTCTGATAAATGCAACCAACTACAAGCACAGTCTTCAACCAAGTGTAGTCAACACACATACATTTTGAAAATGGATTTTTTTCTAGATCAATTCCATCAAAAATGGTAAAATATCCTGGATATGTTATTAGGAATGCTTTTTAATATTTTAATCTCTCTATGATGGAAATTACTGTTATTTTAAGTACTCTAAATTATTGCAACAGTAAAATCTCTGGGAATTTTTACTTCATTCCATTAGTTGTTGGAAAGAGAAATTCTTTACTCTGCCCTATATTTAGACATCAACAGCTCAGGTTGGTACCATGGTAACTGCAGCACATACAAAAATTGTCAGTAAGAGGTGACTGCTGGTGTTCAGTTTTGGTACTTTCTTACAGATCAAACATTGGTAATTTTTAAGATTACTTCAGAAATAAAAATAAAAATAATAAACCCACAACATTAAAAACACTAAATCTGGCCAGAATGTGGGACAATGAGCTGTGGGCACTATTAAGAAGTTACTATTTGTCTGCAATGCCCATCCTATCACAGCTAGGACAATACTATTCTGTTACTGCTGATAATACCGTCTTGTGGAAAGCACATCTGACATGGTGATTAAATAATTGCAAAGTGCTGTTGACCCAAATGTATTTAGCTCAGTTATAGGCTGCTGGCCAAGATATTCTAGTACAAAAATGCATAGTAAGATGGCTTGGTCAACCAATAGAAGAATTATTCAGGTGAAAGCTAGGAACATGTGGAATGCCATCATAGTGAAGGAAAAACTGATGGAGGTTGTGGGAAACCATGAGAAGAAAAGCACAAAGAAAAAACATGATTAAGGGTTTATATAATCCTGGAACAGTGGAAAATATCCGAGCGCTGTATGGACCCACTGATACCTCTGGGGTGGAATTTCACAGTCAGTAACAGATCTATAGGAGGTAAACAGAAAACATACCATTGAAATCACCTACTTTGACTTCCTTCATAACACAAGCCGTTGTATTAGAGCTATGTTGAAAAAATTAATCTTGTTTTCCTGACACATTTTTCCAGGCAAGAAGAAATATAAAACTTTGTTGCCAAGAATTAAAAAGTGGGCAAAATTAATTAACTCTAAAATGAATTACTTAGGGAGTTGCTCTCTTTTTACTTACAGCTCAAAAATAAATTAAAGAAATCAAATGGCTAGGAAAGAAGTTCACTTCACTTAGCTTTAATTTTAAAGTACATGTCTTTTCTAACATGATAGCTAGAGTTTTTTCTGCAACAGTGGAGTGAAATGGATGTTTCCAGGAGGTGGTTACCTTCTTTATTTTAGACATTTATCTTAAGAGGGAATGAATTATCCCTGGAGGGTGCCTTTTGCTTTCTCAGGAGCCCTGCTTTCCAGGGAATTTTACCAACTATCTTACAATATATTCTATTTTATAGGCAAAGCTAGCCTAGCGAATTCTATGCCAAAATTCTTTTTTTTTTAATAAGAATACTTTCAAAATAAAATACAGCCATTTTTATTAACTTAATTCATCATGAATTTAAAAATAAATCTGACCAATCCAAGCCTGCATTTTTCAGCAAATGAAATATTCAGTGATTTTTTCTCCAATGCAACACAGAGTTAATTTTTTTGTTCAAGTCCAAAAGCTTTGATTGAATTAAAGCAAATATTTTAGAAGAAAAAAATCTAATATAGATTTAATAGGTTCCAGTGATGAAGAGCCTATATACTTGGAAAGTAACTCTAAAGTATTTTTTTCTCCTAAAGATTCACACTATTTCTGTCTAAATTTGTCAAGCTTTAATTTCTAGGCTCTGGATTTTTGACTTTTTGGACACTTGACTTTTAGACTGATCATTCTTTTGCACAGGTTTTCTGCTCCCTTTGAAGGTGTTTATGACAACAATCAAATCACAGTGCTTGTCTTTGACAAGTTAAATAGATTAAGCTGCTTGACTCACTGTAGGGCAGGGTTTCCTATGATTTATTCACTCTCACAAGTCTTTTCAGAGTCCTCTTCAATTTAGCACCCTACTCCTTCAAGTGTCAGAACTGGAGATTCTTTTTGCATCAGCTGTAAAAATCTTGTTTTCCTCCAGTTATCAGGTACAAACATTAAATAGAATATACTTGTGAACTAGCCTCACTGCAACAGATCTGCTCTGAGAATGTTCTCCTTTTTGGTGGATTTGGAGACCAAGTGGTTACTGCCCAATTCAGCCTGACTCAGAGTTACTTGAATTTTGGATTCTGGTGTCTTAATCAGAGTGTACTGCCATCAATGGGTTGCTGAAAATGAAGCAAATAATATCAATCCTATTTTCTTTAGCACTCAACTCAGATCTCCTACTTAGAGTATTATTATTACATTAACAACCATTAGGCTGCATCAGAGCCAGATGGGTTTGAATTTGATCCTTTTAACATTTGTCTTTTTTTATATAAAATAACATGTGTTTACAAATGTGAATGTGGCTGATGATTTTGACATCTGTAACAGTCCTTCTGCATTTTATTACACACATTTTACTTAAAGTCTTGTTTAAAAGTGTTTTATGACTTAGTTAATGATCATAGTTCCTGATTATTATAATGTGCCTCTAGTCTGTCTTATTCT